GGTAGACTGTATAATAATAAAATCGCGAGCAGATCGGGATTTATGATCACTTCCATTTCGGTCAGTTTATCCACTGCGTCGAAGAATGTACGAATATGTTCGCGCACGTCTTCCCCGTCCGCCATTTTTTGTAATGCGAGACGTTTCAGCAGCGTTGCTTTTCGGGCAGGACCCTTGGATTGATATATCCCTTCCAATCTCAGCCAAATTTCTCGAGATGATGTGCAGCCTTTGATCTGCTTCAATTCGCTCGGGTGAATTGAAAGGATGAGATCTGATATTGCCTTACTATCGTTGTCGTCCCATTCCGCACGAGCTTGGGCAGATATCCCATCGTCGTCGGCAACTAGTTCCGTTTTCACGTCGGTTCCATTCACATATTTCCATGCGTTGTTCTTCACCAATATTGCTTGCATCTGCATTTTCCAGGTGTCGTAATTGTCTTTATTGAGCGTTTCAATACGGCTCACAGCGGACACATTCATTGTGAGTGTCGTTTTCTTTGATGCACTTGATCACTGAGAATCTCACTCACTTTTTCACTTTAATACGAACACTTATTGCGAATCGTTGCCTGGGCCCATAACCTGTTGAGGAGGGATCGCGACGCAGGGAAGACTCGAACTGTTATTGTTGTTTTTATCATGCATACAAAAGATGAATATCCCGGTGGTAGAAGCGCCATCTGTGGTCAGCGATAGCATATCGTTAAAACGATTTCTCAATAATTTTACTAACACATTTAAGTAGTCCTATAACGTTGGAAGCATTTCCGTTATCATTATGATCTCGCATGTTTTACAATGCCAAAAACTCAAATACGTGCGCTCTTGGTAAGTTCTTAAAAAATTTGAGGTTATATAGAACTCATTTAATTGATGGGGAATCTTGATAATTTTCCTAAATATATTGAAATAATATCCACGTTTTCATTCGTGCAATTTCATTTGAAGATGATATACATATCTTTTCAATTGAACACAACTAAAAAAATTTATAAATTTTAATTTCCAGAGATTATTTAGAAATTTAGAAATATACTCTCTCTTCATCTTCCTACCGATAATAAACAAATTACTAATATTCATTTTTTGTACGCATGCGCTTTTTTTTAATTTTGCTATTTTTTATTATATCAAAAATTTGGTAAAACTTTTGAAACATTTGATTAATTTTATAAATGTATAAACTTAAATATCTATACTGCTAAACAAATTTTTATAATTTTTGCAACTTATATACAATGGAAATTTTTTTACAGTTAATCAGTAGCTAGTATTGATATATTATTAAATATTCTAAACTTATTAAAAATTAATTTATCTTAAAGAATAAATAAAAGATAAAGGGTTAAAATTATTACGTTTAAAATTATTATATTGCTTTGTGATAAAAAAGAATTAAAAATTAAAAATTCATATCTAACAAAAGTTATTTCAATACGTGTACAATGGATTTTTAGAGTTCGTCGACCTTTCTTGGAGCATTTCATTTCAAATTTTCTTTAAATTACCATAAAAAGTTTCCCATCGATTTTGAAAAATATTATTGAAATAGAAATGTCTTTTATTTCAATAATATTTTTCTTTCTGAGAGAAAAGAATGGTTGCAAGTACTGTAATTTAACTATTCCCATACATCGAAAGTTTTCAAAAATATCTCAGAAACATTTCAATTGAAAAATGAAACATTTCATAAAAATGGCGAAATATGTCTGCAACATTTCTGAGACAGTTCTGAAATAGCAAAATGTCCGTGATTCTTGCAGATGAAATCTTGTTAAAAGGCTGATGAAATGTCATAGAAAGAGAATCTACAATCTTTTTTAAATATTACCAAAATTTCAGCCATTTCTAGTACTACAAAAATGATATTTAAATATATACAGGGTTGGCCATATTCGACGGAAAGATGTTTTTTTTTCAATCATGGGAAACGTCGTTACTCGATCTAACATCTCTGTCAAAAGTTACAGTGTTTGCCAGATCTTTCCGTCGAATATGGCCAACTCTGTACTTAATTGATTCTAAAATAATATTTAAATTTATTATGACGACATAATAAATTTAAATATTGTTTAAGTATCAATTAAACATGTATTTAAATATCATTTCTGAAGTAAAATTTATTGAGAGTTTTGTGTTGTGTTGTGATCTGGTTTACAAATTATATAAAATTTATTGAAATAAACTTAAAGTATTTCTCAAAAATAGTAATTATATCGCCAACTACCTATTTTGATTAATTACATATCAATACAACATATCAATATTTAATAAATCAGTGACATTCGCACGAATAAACTTAATAAATTTATTAAAATTCAAAAAGACAAAAAGGATCCAGCCTTTACAGACCATGTAATATTAGAATTGATTGTAAAAATTGCGATGCCTCTTACATGGGCCAAATCAAGAGAAAATTGTGAACGAAAATCAAAGAACATTGTAACAATATAAAATTGGATCCATCCAAACATTCTGATGTCACTAATCACATGTTGGAATGTGATCACATGTTTGATTGGGAAAATATTAAAATATTAGACATTGAACATAATTGCAACAAGAGATTAATTACGGAGATGATCTATATTAAAAAACAAAAGAACGGTATCGATTGTAAAAAAGATATGGAATTGCTGGATGGTTCCTATTTTGATATTCTTAAAGAAATTTCTAATGACTCTAATTTATTGATTGGTTACTGCTTCTAAAATGATTGATTACGTTCATTCTAAAGTTTATATATTATTGGTTACGCATACTTAATATTATTTAGGCTCATTGTCTTATATATATGCGTATTATTACTCGTTAGCGTTAGTCTACGTCAGGCTTCTGTTACGAATAATGACTCTGAATTATATAATTTCACTATATTTTATTAATAGGATCCTGACAGCTTTGTTAATCAATCCACACCATAAATATAAGGTAATTTGACTACTTGATACATTTAATTATTTTTCATCACAATTTTTACATAATTTTAATATATTTCATTCTCCTATTTTTTTCATTTGACTTCTCTTTTTGAACATGATTCTCATCCTTAAACGAGGATTTAGTTAAATTGTATAAACATCATAACTCTTATGAACATGATGGGATAACACTTCAGTTATTTATGATACAATTATGACATTAATTATAACATTCCGTTTTTTAATTGCGGTTAGATTATTAGGTTAATTATATTGTTAACTGAAAAAGACTCTGTGAGTCGAACCGTTTTAATGTAAATAAGAATTGAGTGATATTATATCTCAAATATTTTTATTGTAATTTAACAACTTTTATGCTCGTTTTTTATCGTTATCTTATCGTTTTTAAAGAGTATATCATATGTATATTTGAAGCACTTGTAAATCTGAAATTTAAATCATTTTTTACTATCATTTTTAAAAATTAATTAAATCTGTAAAATTATAATTCATATTCGATTTTTTTTATATACAATTTCAATGTACAAACAGTTATACAATGCGTAGAAATACGTCAAATCAAACAATTGTTTTGACATTACTCGGTTGGATGTACAATAAAAAAGCAAAATTTAATTAAATTTGTCAATAAAGTAATACTTCCTAGAAAATGTGGGCAAATTCGAGCATTATAAACTTATTGTTAGGCAACTGCAACGTCCCATCTATAGTCAAACGAATGTGGGGGGTAGACTGCTCTCCAGAAAAACTTTGCTAGTAAGGATAAAATGCAATTGGATAAACCGATAAACATTAAAAAGCTTTAATCACATTGAAAAATGTGCTTCGCTCAAGCGTAATAAGAAAAATCTCGTAAAAAGTGACGCTTACGTTAGTATGCCACTACAACAAAAGCTTCCGCACTTTGTTCGAGTATTTCTCGTTATTTTCCTGTCATATGCTTCCGACAATAAGAACGAAATGATAGCAAAGAGCTCAATGATACGCAAAAAGGCATCGCAATCGCAAATGAACTTCGCTTTAAAAAATGCAGACTATTATCTATATATTTTATTTAAAAACTCTATGAATCGCATCGGTATTAATGTGTATTCAAATAACAAATCGTAAGAAGCGCGAGAATATTTATCATAAAAATCTTTTAGCATGTTACATTTATTTTATTTTTATACTTATCTATCGGAATAATTTGTAGATTTACGTGGCAGATTTCAAATCATTTTTCCTCTTAAAATAAATGTGTCTTTTAAAAAATATCTTTAATATAGTAATTCTTTTTTTGTTACTAATTTATGCAAAAAGCAATTTAAAGCTGTAACTTGAAAGACCGTCATTACACAGACATATTTATTTCAAATTATTCTTGCATGATTAAAACGTTCACAAATTTATCTTTCATCAAGACTTTTCAATACGGAAAAATAGAAAACAAGATAGACAGATGTATAGTCGCCAAAGAAGATTATATATTGGTAGACGTGTAGAATGGGAGTAAAATTAGAAGATTTAACTTGTTTTTAAAATTAGAAGAATATGTTTAATCTCTCGAGTTCTCCAGAATGCTGCCGCTGTTGCTGTTGTTCGATTCGTGAACTCTCTCGATGTACTTCTGTACTTCTGGACGTGTGATATTGTGTTCCGTGAACTCATGATTCTCGTCACATCGCTGCTTATCGTTTTCAGTCTCCTCGGTCGAATGCTGCCGCGCTTGCACTGTTCGTTGCAACAGCTGCGGACTTCGAGTTCGAGATGCTGATTTACCCTTTGATTTCGCGCACATCTCTTTACGTTTTGGTTCTCGATGCAGTGATTTCTTTGCTAAAATATAGATTAATAACACAGATCAACAAAATTTAGGGGGAGGAGTCTTGTGCTTTGAACTTTAGAAGATGTAGAATTTTGATGCGTTGAAAGCGACTATGTTGTCCATTTTTTTTCCATTACCTCCATTTTTTTTAATTTAAATAATTGCAAAAACAATTTTTTTCGGAGGTACTTTTATTATTAATTTTTCTTGGTAAACAAAAAATGATATCGAAATTTGTTTTGCAACAGTTTAACTTAGAAATAAAACAATACTAAAAACATTTTTTCGATGCTTATAAAAATGTTTTATGCAAATCGCAAACAAAAAGCTTTAGAAAAATCGTAAAAAACCAGAAAAAATTAACAAATTTTGAAATATAAAAACAAAAAATTCGAAAAAAATTCGTAAAAAATATCTGACAATTTATTTTGTAGTTGTATTTGTAGTTCTATGTTTCTAGTTTAAATCCTTTTTTGAAAAATATATTTCCGACCATTTGTTATTTAGAAGTTATCAATTTAAAGCGCCAAAACGCGCGCGCGCACGCGCGCACACACGCGCGCACACACACACACACAGAGAGAGAGAGAGAGAGAGAGAGAGAGAGAGAGAGAGAGAGAACCCGCGTCAACGCAATATCTATAGCGCAATATCTTTTCGAATCTGACACATAGCCACCGAATACAGGAGTATGTTGTGTAGTCTTTTTTGGTCTGATTTCTGAAATTTGAAATAAAAAATGTGTAATAAAAATGGCTGATCCAATATATAGAAGACAGGAATTTAAAAAAAACTGTATATGAAAATCGATATTTGATGATTTTATAAATCTTTGTACTGTAGACGTATTTATGCGGGATCTACAATAGAAGTCGTAGAGGTCGTAGAATCTTAATTCATAGAAAATTAATCAATCATAGTCTATTATTCTTCTCATGTTCAACTGTGATTGGTTAATATTCTACAATTTAAGACTCTACAACCTCTACGACTTCTATTGTAGACTCCGCATAACACGTCTACAATTGATCCATACAACACCTATTAATCATCTATAGAAGCGCTAGAAAACAGCTACATTTAATCCATATAATGTCTTTTAAACATCTATTAGAGCTCTATAAAATATCTACTTTTGAATCGTATAACGTTTTTTAAACTTCTAATGGAATTCTTTAAAACATCTACAATTGATTCATACAACGTCCTTTCAACGTTTGTTGGAGCTCTATTATTCATTTATAATTGAGTTATATATTGTCTGGCTATTATATCAATTCCAGAAATTTAAATAGTTTCTATATGTATATATTGAAATATGATGTATACATATATATATACAGTATTTTAACTTTTCTGTAGAATATGTTAATGAAGTCAGTTCATATTAATTTAATAATAAAATGTAAATATTAGTTTAATAGACGTCTATCGTGGATTTTTAATGGATCATATATCGTAAATCTCTAATGAACATCTATTGTACATCTCCAAGGGACATCTATGTGACTTTCATGTGGAGATAGATGTCGCATGGAGTTATAGAGGTCATGTGGACGTCTAATGGATGATTTGTTCTGTGTGGGATAAGGTAATATATCCACATGATACAGGATAGTTAAAATCCCGTGTACATTTACTTATTATTCATCGCCACTGGATCTGTTTACTGACTCTATTTTCAATTCAACAATTATGATTACGGTATAAGTAATCAGACACAAAACCAAATATCAATTTTCATGTATGCTTTTTTTAAATTTTTGTTCTCCATATTGGATCTGCCATTTTAAATTGCACATTTTTTTTCAAATTTCAGAAACCAGTGACCAATAAATACTACACAACATGCTTCTGTATTCGGTGGCTATATGTCAGATTCAAGAGGATATGCGCACTGTAGGTGATGTGCGGGCTGCTTAGGTATTTTAAATTCAATAATTTCTGATCGGAAATTAATTTTTCAAAAAAGGATTTAAACTAGAAACATACAATTATAAGTATAAATTATCAGATATTTTGTACGATTTTTTTCTTTTGAATTATTTGGTTTTATATTTCAAAATTTGTCAACTTTTTCCGATTTTTTACGATTTTTCCAAAGTTTTTTTGTTTGTGGTTGACATAAAACATTTATATAAGCATCGAAAAATGTTTTTAATATTGTTAGAACATTTCTGAGTTAAATATCGTAAAACAGACCTCAATATCATTTTTTGTTTAGCCAGAAAAAAATTAATTAAAAAGTTTCTTTCGGAAAAAACTGTTTTTGCGATTATTTAAAAAATGGAGGATAAAAAAGAATGGGCCCGGTAAAAAATTTATCATGCATGAATATGTATAAATATGTATAAACATACATAAACACACATAAATATTCATAAACATGTATAATTATATATGAAATATGTCCATACATGTTTATACATCCTTCTTTTTTTCGTAAAATTACTTTTTAGTGTATTAGAAATAATAATAGTAATGTGAAAACATAAAAAATAATTAAAGGGATAATTTTCGCATTGTTTGTTTTAGAAAAAGCAAATTTGGAAAAATACTGATAATACATAATTATGCATAATTTTATTTATAATTATATTATTTATGTATAATTATACATAAATAATTTTTTTACATTTCTTCAAACTTGATTTTTTCTAAAACAAATAGTGCAAAAATTATTTTTACAATTATTTTTAATGTTTTCACATTACTATTATTATTTCTATTACAAATTACTAAAAAGTAATTTTAGAAAAAAGGATGTATGAACATGTATAAACATATTTCATATACATGTTTATGAATATTTATGCGTGTTTATGTATGTTTATACATATTTATATATTAGGTGTTGGAATTAATTCGTAGCGTTTTTAATGAAAGAATGTTATTTATTTCACATGAGCATTAAAAAATACATTAATGAAAGTACTTCCCATCACTTGTAAAACGCTACGAATTAATTCCAACACCTAATATATTCATGCATGAAAATTTTTTCCGAGCAACATCGTCGTTTTCAGCGCATCAAAATCCTACAGAAATATCTTTTAAAGTTCAAAGTGCAAGTCCCTTCCCCCTAAATTTTGTCGGCCTGTGTAATTATATACTACAAATTGTTTTTAAATATGTAATGGCATGAAAAATATACGTTAGTAATAACAATTACTTTGTCAAACAAATTTGATATATGTATATATTTTTAAAACTCAAGTTTATATATTTAGAATATTTAGAAACTGCATAAAGATATTAGTCCTTTTAGTCTTCTCTATAGAAATATCAGAGAATGGAAAGTTACTTTTCATAAGTAATAAGTTACTCGTTACTTACTGAGTAGAAAAAATAACAAGTTAACGTTACTATTTTATCGATGAATATAATTAATTTACTGTTAACTGAAGTATTCAAATGTCCCTATCTTATTTTCATCTGGCGGGATACTTATTGACATTCGAATTTTTTTATATTTTTTAATACTTTTTTTATATTCTTTTATATTTTTTTTTATACTATGATACTTCATCATTTATGATTTTTAAATTTTCATTATCCGTTATTCTTTATTCATTAATTTAAGATTGTATCTCTGCGTTGTAGCACTGAAGAAGGCTTTGTGAGCCGAAACATTTGTTAATTATATTAATTTTAAGTTAATTTAATTACAGTTCGAAATAAGCCATGACATTGTGTTAATTTTTAAGAAAATATACGAGCATTTTTTACTTCATTTTAATGTTACTAGTTATCGATTTTTTAAAATTAACTCTTTACAATTACCGTTACTTGAGAGAGTAAGTAACTTTTCGTTACTTTTCTGTCACTTTTTTAAAATTGACGACCATCAATCACAGTGGACGAGCCTAGAGGCTTTCTAGTCTCAAACGCTATGAGTATTTGTGTCCAATCGTATCGTGCAAAGTAACGATAAAAGTAACTGTAAAATTTGTTACCGTTACCAAAAAAATGTCGTTACCATTATAGTTACCAAAGAAAAAAGTAACGCAGTTATCAGTAAAGTTATCAAAAAAAAAGTAACTAGTAACTGTAACTTTGTTACAATTAATGAGTTACTTCCATTCCCTGAAAATTATATATACATAGGGTGTATATATATTTCTTGTATCTTAAAAAGCGTCCATTAATCCAGCGCTATTCTTGATTACAAATTGATTTAAGAACATCTTTAAGATCTGTAAAAAACACTAAAAGATATTTTAGAGTTGTTTTATGTGTCGATTTTATCCGCTAATTTGACAATTGTTAGAGATTAATATTTCGTTAACTATTGTAAAAATTGTAAATGGCTCAAGATTTTTGGTTTCAGTTTTTAATCAGGAATAGTGTTATTTAAGATATACTCTGTATATTTCATATATATATATATATATATATATATGTATACATTTTCTATATGTATATGTATATGCAATATCATATATAAAATTGTTTTTTCTAAACAATTATACCTATACATATAATTAAATAAAAAAGACAGCAATGTATAATCTTTAATTCTTAATTTAATACACTTTCTATTTTATTTTCTAATATGATTTATATGATTAAAATTACCTCGAAAAACACGCTTTTGACTCACGTCGCTATTGCATTCACTTTCATCAGATAAGTCAGACTCGAGCTCTCGCTTGGATACTCTTGAACGTTTCGTTTTGCAATTGAATAATACAGGCGAATCATTCCTTCTATGCAAGAAATCCTGTCCGGATGAATAATCCTCGAACTCCTCATCGTCTTCGTATGTGCGCTTTCGTTGTCGTCGCTATCATCATAAATATTAAAATTATATTAGGTGTTGGAATTAATTCGTAGCGTTTTACAAGTGATGGGAAGTACTTTCATTAATGTATTTTTTAATGCTCATGTGAAATAAATAACATTCTTTCATTAAAAACGCTACGAATTAATTCCAACACCTAATATTTTGTATGTTTTATTTAATCAAATAATTTTCATTCACGATATAGTCCAAGAAAAAAATTGTAACAATTATTCTCATTGTTGATTTACCATAAAATAATCATTTATTATATAATACATCATTTATAACGCTTTTTAGGTTTTTATGGATATTATCTTCAAAGATATCAGAAGATTTACGAGTTATCACCTGTGTTCTACCATATATCAGCTCCTCACCCTGATGAAGTAAACGACAAGATTTACGAAACTTTAGCATTAGCAATGGATGAGAACATGGCGATAACCCGCAAACCATCTGATATATTATTTATTTTATTCAATTATATTATATTTACATAATCGAATAAAATAAATGATTATAATTTATTTTATTCAAATATATTTATAATCTTCCTTCAAGTGTTTTGCAAAAATATTGGCTTTACGTTTAATTTTTCCGTCTCTTTGCATTAGCATAGAGTCTCGTGTAATTGCCTATGTTATAATAGATTCTTATTGAAATTTGCTCTAAATTATTTTAGCTCAAAATGTAAAGAAAATATGATTAGCATTTATATTATTAGAATCTCTTTAAAAAATAATATCCCTATATACCGAGTGTTCAAAATAAAATTACAAATTTGTATCTTGGAAACATGGCATTATTCAGAAAAATTATTCAGACAAAAGTTATAGGTTCAAAAAGATCTATTTACAGATTTTATTAGTTTGACTTTGGATGGCGTCGCCAAGGTCAGATCAAATTGATTTTTTTAAACATGACATCCTGTTTTTGCCAGAATCTAATAGCTGATGTCAAGACACTTTTCAAAACACTATAATAAAGTTATTTTTTATCGAGTACTTTTTGAGTTATAATGCTTAAAAGTTACAATACCATTGACATTAGTATTACCCACGGTGTCCAATCAACGATTAAAACCTCTTGAATGTTGTTCAGAATGTCCTGAATAATATTTGTCATGAAGGTCATTAGAGATTATTCTTCTTATATCCATTTAAAAAATTTATTTTTATGTAAAAATAAAAATTAGAGGTACAACCTCTGAGGATTTTTGATCTTGACAAATGTTATCCAGATTGTGATCCTGAACAACATTCAAAAAGTTTTAGCCGTCAGTCGAACACCTTGGATAATGCTAATGCTGACAGTGCTGTAACTTGCAAGCCTTATAACTCGAAAAGTATTTAATGAAAATGAACTTAATTATGACGTTTTAAAAAGCTTTCAACATCAGCTATTAGATTCTAAAAACAAAAGTAAGGTATCTCTAAAAAAATCGATGTAATCTTGACGACGCCACCCAAGATCAAACTGAGATCAATAAATAGATCTTTTTGAACTCTACAACTTTTGTCGGAACAATTTTTCTTAATAATGCCATGTTTTCGAGAAGAAAATTTGTAACACATGTTATTTTAAACACCTGATATACAATGTGGCAGAAACCATCCGTACGCTACTTTTCTCTCGAAAACAGAGTATTTTAGAAAAAACCGCTTCAAATAAAAGTTGTAGGGTTCTAAATAATGTATTCAATGATCCGATCAGTCTGACTTTGAGTGACGTCACTTTGAGCAATGTCACTTTGAATTTTTTAAACGGAACCCCCTATTTTTCATTATATCACATTATTCACATATTCTTATAGCACATCTCGAGAGCAAAGCACTATAAAATATTTTTTTATAAAGTACTTTTCGAATTATAATGCTTGTGATATAATGAAAAATAGGGGGTTCCGTTTAAAAAATTCAAAGTGACATTGCTCAAAGTGACGTCACTCAAAGTCAGACTGATCGGATCATTGAATACATTATTTAGAACCCTACAACTTTTATTTGAAGCGGTTTTTTCTAAAATACTCTGTTTTCGAGAGAAAAGTAGCGTACGGATGGTTTCTGCCACATTGTATATCAGGTGTTTAAAATAAAATGTTACAGTATCGCTAGCATTATTATTGCCCAAGGATCATGTCTTAGATAACATTCGTCAAAATCAATTAGAGATTTGAGAAACTTACTTTATGAAAAAATATTTTATTACAGTATTTTGGAGAGCTTTCGAGATATTGTACTATAAGAATATATAATTAAAAATAGAAGGTTCCATTTTAAAAAAAATTTTAAATGACATCTGACTTTGATGACACTACTCAAGGTCAAACTGATTAGATCACTGAATAGATCATTTAAAACCATACAACTTTGGTCTGAAACAGTTTTTTCTAAAATGTTCTGTTTCTGAAATGAAAGGGATGTACGTGTGGTCTCAGACATCTGTATACATATACAGAGTAGCATGAATATATGGCCCTACTCATTCCGAGCAGATAGAGTGGACTAAACTGAGAAGAAAAGTCCTCTACCATTTTATAATTTTCGCAATAACAAAATATTAATTACTAAAATTGTTGAAAATTACATACGCGGTATTTGTTATATATATATGTAGTACTGAGAAATAAATGTTAATATAATCGCTTCAATTACTGCGAATTTAGGCTTTTAATTGCCCATTTTTTCATTTATTGTTTAATTGTTAAAAATTGATCTTCAATAATTTTTTACTCAAATACTATCAGTTTTTAACATAAAAACTGCAAGACAAAACTTATTTATTAGAGACAAATTATTAGAGACAAAAATTATTTATTTTCTTCTCATAGAGCTCTACGAATTTTTTCAAAATTTTTAAATAATTTTTTAGTATTGCATTTTCGTATTTTTAACATGAGAAAATACGGTATTAAAAAAATTCTTAAAAAATTCTTAAAAAATTCTTAGAGATCTACGAAAAGATAAACAATTTTTACCTCTTGCAGTTTTTTTGTAAAGTTGATAGTATTCGAATAAAAATTATTGAAAATTAATTTTCGGCAATTTTTAGCAATTAATATTTTGTTAACTATTATGAAAATTCCAAAATAGTACAGAACTTTTCTACTCAGTTTAGTTCGCTCTACCTGCGCACAAAATATTTAATTTTTCTGAGACATCCTGTATATGCATATAATATCAGTATATGAATTCTTATTCTTAGGAGATATAAGAACAAAGAGTAATCGAATAAACATAAATACATTTAGATTAGAAATCCTATAATCAAAGTTTGGTCATGAGATAGCAATTTACAATTTGTTTTTTTTTTGTTTATATTTTTCATTAAATAGCATTATAATCAGAGCAAGGTGACACATATCTTTTTCTTTTTCGTACTACTGCAAAATAAGATAATCATATCTTTTCTCATTCGCATGCTTTTGACAAAAAATGTCGGAATCGTTATCGTGGCTAGTATATATATATATATATTAAATTGAATGTATTGTCAAAGTAGTTCAAACTATTCAAATAACAATAATTCTAATTGACGCACCTTTCGATTTTGGACAGCATTGGTTCGTCTAATATATGGCGAACGTCGAGATTTCCTTCTTACTTTTGTATTACGATGTCTACTATTTCGTCGCCGAGTAATTTTTTTCCTATATTATAGATATTAAACAGAATCACAGTAATTTTAATTTCTTCGTTTTTTTGAGCCAACATTTTAATTATGTTAAACTTCTTATATAATAGTCTATCATCCATCCATAATAGATTGTAGACGTTATTTATTATAATGAATTTTAATAGATCTTACTTATAAAATTTAAACATAAGTACAATATATAAAAATTATTGTCCAACACGGATTTTAGACTACAAATGAAGCCAAGTGATTTTTATAAATTTTTTGTAGCTGAAAACAAATCCGTAAATGAAATTGTCTCTATCACGCAAGGTTTTCGAAAAACTTGAACCTAAAGGTGCTAAAAATGGCTGCAAAAAACTTTGGGTCCTTTGAGCTAAAATATCTAAAAATGTAACGTGATAGAGTAATTTCAATTATAAATTTGTTTTCAATAACAAAATATCTATATAATATCTATATAATTCTTATAATATCTATAAGAATCACCTACTTTATTGACTGTTTTATGCAAGAAGCTATAGTTACAATGAAGAGGAAGAAAATTAAATTTATATATATAAATGTAACACTTTAAGGATCGCTTATGTAATTTGAATAATCACCTGTTATTTTCTATTTTTTTATAACAAATGGGAGGCAGAAAAACAATGCGCTACTTATATGCATTTTTCCACAGAATCCAATAGCTATTATTTTCATTCAAATAAAATTTTTGTTAATTATTTAAACGATAATTGTTTGAACAAATTGTATATGATGATTGTGATTTCAGATTTATAATGAAAGAGAGAGAGAGAGAGAGAGAGAGAGAGAGAGAGAGAGAAAGAAAGAGCTTTCACAACTGTTACATGTAGATAATTATTCATATTGTATAAGCAATCTTCAAAGAGTTATATTTATCTATGAATTTTAATTCTCTTCATCTTTGTGTAACTGTTGTTTCTTGCGTAAAGTCGTCAATAAAGTAAATGACTCTTATAGATTTTTTGTTGCTGAAAGTGAATCCGTAAATGAAATTGCTCCATAACGTTTTTGAGTATTTCAGCTCAAAAAACACAAAAATGCCATTTTTTATATCAATTTTCTCAAAAACCTAATGTAATAGAGCAATTTTATTTATGGATTCGTTTTCAATGATCAAAACTATATAAAAATCACTCGGTCTTGTTCGTGGTCTAGAAAAAAAGTAAATGTGTCAAAGAATGTTGTTATCTTTGAAATGTGAAACTTTAAATTAGTCAAAAAAGGAGAGTCATCGCTCCACATGTAGAAGAATTTCAGCGTACTTGCGCTCTTGTGTTTGCAAGGATTCAACATCACTATTCGGTGTTTCTACATCGGATTTTGATTTTTTTTGTTCGTTTATCTGATTGTTAGCTGGTTCCTTATTAGTAGATGATTCCTCCTTAGCAGGATTAGAAACAGAATTAGGATTTAAAGTAGCCAGTGCTTTATAACGACCACTTCTATGCCGTAGAAGTCCAGCATTTACTGCATGCTTTAAAGCTCGATGTACCTATGTTAAAGAAACATTTAAATTATTTAAGTTTTATTATTGATCATAATAGAAATTGTCTTTCTCTTTTTCTATTTCAAAAAATAATCTATGATAAAGATTTTTTAAGTGTTCATAACATAAATACGATTGGGCACAAAACAAAACAAAATTTTAAAAAGATTATAAACTTTTTATTTAAAGTTCAATTTCTTAAAAATAAATTTATATTGTAAAAATTTAAACAGACACAAAAAATATATTTTTACTTCTAGAAAATTGAAATTCTGAAAAGCATTTCACACATGAATTATTGTGATAAATAAACACAAATTATTAAAGAAAAATATTTAAAATGTAGTGTTTGTAGGCGCACACATAATAACTTTTAAAATAAATACTTTTGTATGTTACCTGCAGTGTCAAATTTTTTGACGATACGTTGCTATGTCGAATAAAACTGAGAACTTCGCGAGCTGATGAACCTCTGGTGTCACCAAGATTTGCTACTGCATCTAGCACGCGAGCCATAAGTCGTGGATTCGATGGTCGAACCATTTTCGTGATATACAATTTACTTAACTGCTGCTTAATTATTCTTGTAAATGTCTAATCATTAAATTTCAAATTATCCTATTACAAATTAACTTATTATTATCCTATTATTATAATAATAAGATAAATTTCAAATTATCCTATTATTATAATAATAGGATAAATTTCAAATTATACTATTATCTTATATAAAGAATAAATAATATAGTATCAAATATAGTATTAAACATTCAATGGAATTCACGAATGTCTGTTTAAAATAATTATTATGTTTTTATATTTTTAGTGTTTTTTAGTTACATGACATAACACTTATATTTTTAAAGAACAAAAGAAAATTATTTACAATAGATCTTTTTGAGTTCATATTGCGAATTGCAGGACTAACTCGAATTTTTTAATGCTACTTTTAATGCTAATTTTCATATCTACATGCCATACCTATATGTATTATTACCTGACAAACTCTTGGAGTAAAAAGATATCCAATTACTTTTCTTAATGTGACAAACGGTTTTAATAAACCCGTTGTAAATACGGGCCGTCTTTAAGAGCACCACGAATTTCGTTGAGGCATGTCGTTGTTGCATCGAAGTTGTCACTGAGACATCCGTTGTCTCTAAATGATATTCTTCGTTTGTTTGACGACGCTTCTTTTTTCTTTTACTCAAGAGCGTATTCAGATTCCCGGGTGCTCCCCGAGAACCGGTATCATGTCATCCTATATTTAATGTTCGGTAAACAACAAGGATAGAATGATACCTGTGTGGCACTTAGGTGGGAATCTGAACATAGTCCAAGCTGTTATACATATTATGCCGGTGAACATTAGATAGAATAATTACGAATGCCTCCGATTTACAAAACCGAACACAGCTTCAGAATCGCAAAACTTTCTTATTTCTATATACAATAATAAATTGTACATACATACATTCGATTATATAATCTTTGAAAAATGCAACATTGTACTGAAATTCAATAAATCATCTTAAATTATTACTTATATATGTTATGGCATATTTAGCATAATCAAAGAATTTTAATTTATTAAAATTTTGATACATTTTTTATATAATTTAAAGTTAAATGAATTCACGAAAACGGTTTCTATATATATATATATATTTATATATTAGAAACGCGACAGATACATTTTACTGCATTTATAACATGAAAAATTGACATTGTGTCATCCCAATTTATTATGTAACATAAAATACATACTATCGGCATACGTCAATGTCAGGAATTTTCGCAATATCATGATCATGAATTACGAATTAAAAGTACACCTGTCATTTTTGTATACTTTCTCGTACATATTTGTTATGCATCATGTGACTTATCTACTCTATGAAGAACCAAGAAGATGTTATATATACATAACTTGCCGTAATCGAAGTTGAGCTCTAAACTAATTTGTAAATTGCGACAATTCTGCACAAAATACTTTATTATTGTCGAGATCTTTCAGTGTTACTAAAATTGTACAAAATCAAATAGAATTATTTATCCATCATGTCAATTACCATGAGTAATTCGTCGCTACATTGTAAGTCAAGATCAAAGGATGTATGAAAATTAGATAAATAATGGAAATATTTAAATTATTTAAAATAAAATTTATATTTGAATATAGGAAAGGTCGTATTATGAGATATCGAGTTCATTTTGGATAAATGAAATCTATGCAGAATTTAAAAAAATAATAAGTAATTTTGAAGGAAATTTAATAAGCTTTAAAATAATGTTATGTAAGATTTAATTCAAATTTTATGTTTTTTGAAAATTAAAAAAATGTAAAAAGTGTGCAAATTGTAAAAAATTGTGCTTCTATTAGATGCTTCGAGAAATCGATAATAAAATTCAAAGTACATCAGTATTGCAATTAAAAAACTTTATTTAATGTTTGTAAAATACAAACAAACACAGCCAGTGTGCGCGCAAAATGAGCATACGATGCATTGTAGGACTCGTCTTCAGTTGAAATCAAGCATCGGAGAAATAGACACTCGATGTTTATTCCGATTGTCCTTTTTATTATTATACAATTTATACTTTAGTAACGATTTTCACTATACCATAGAAGCATAAGTTGTTTCATATTAGAAATACCCTGGGTATCTCATATTACAATTTTCACGTCTTACGGTTTTACAATCATCAAATTTAACTTCTGAATTAAGCAATTTAATATAATATATATCATATTTTTCTATTAATACGATCTTATTTTATCACTATATAAAGAAGAAATTTATTGTCAAATATTTACTTCTTATAATAATAAAGGTTTAAAGGCTCATCTCAACGAAACTTGAAAACATCCGATTCTACAATTTTTTTTACAACGACTACAAGAATGATCTAATAATGAATTTTCCAAATAATTAAATAGTTGTCAATCTAGGAGCAATAAATTCATGGTGAAACTAATAGATAGCTATAATAGATTTATTTATTCAACAGAAACGCTGCTATCTCAGGCGTCTATCTCATAACAGAGGGCTTTCTTCTATGGATATAGGTGAACGCACACGCGCGGTAAATCTTGAAAACAATGAACTCATCTCCGATAACCTTAATCTTGACATACAGTGAGTGTAAAAAGTATTCGTACAAGAAAATTTTTAATAAAAAGTCTTATTTGTAGAAAATAAACATTAATTAGCAATTTTATACAATGAATCCCAGTAAAAATTTTGTCATGCATGAATATGTATAAATATGTATAAACATACATAAACATGCATAAATATTCATAAACATATATAATTGAATGTGAAATATGTCCATAAATGTTTATACATTTTTTTTCTTTTGTAAAATTTTTAGTGTAACAGAAATAATAATAGTAATGTAAAAATATTAAAAATAATTAAAAAGGTAATTTTTTCTCTATTTTAGAAAAAAATCCAGTTTGGAGAAATGTAAAAAAATTACTTACGTATAATTATATATAAAATTATGCATAATTATGTATGAGCAATTTTTTAAATATTTTTCCAAACTTATTTTTTTATAAAACAAACATTGAAAAAAATTATCCTTTTAATTATTTTTTATGTGTTCACATTACTATTATTATTTCTATTACACTAAAAAATAATTTTACAAAAGAAAGAAGAATGTATGAGCATGTACGGATATATTTCATATATAGGAGAAATCGGGACACCATGGGTCATCGATTGTTTAACATATTCTAGAATTATAAAAATAATAAGGCTCAATAAATCAAAATAAGTAAAAAGGAAAAAGGGCTAAGAGCCTAAAACATAAATTGACAAACTGTATGAGTAATTAAAAAAATTTTTTTGAAATAAAACTATGTCATAAATTAAAAACGTAAAATATAATTTGACAATCAGAAGGTGAACAAAACAAACGTTTCGATCCTAGTTGGATCATTTTCAATGTGACAAATAAGTTAGTGGGACAATATAAATGACCAATGGTAATTAACACTAGAGTTATAACGTAGATAAAAAACATAAGAGATCAAGTAAAATTCGCATTCGGACGCAAATTAACTAAAGCTCGCTCCAAATTAAAAGGAAATCAAACAAACGATTATATTTATGACATAGTTTTATTTCAAAAAAATTTTTTTAACTACTCATACAGTTTGTCAATTTATGTTTTAGGCTCGTAGCCCTTTTTCCTTTTTACATATTCTATAATGTTTAAATTAATATCATTAGTACAATACGACTGTTACTTCATTGTCCATACTTTTTATCTAGGTGGCAATGATTAAATTTCATTATATCGAAAAACATCGATTATTAATGGTTTTCGTGATGTAAAAATAACTTTTTAATCGCATAAAAATGTATTGATATTATTTTTGTAGTAGAAGATACATGTATGAAGATAAAATATAAATTTCTGCGTATCTTTTCTCAACTTACTTAACTCACGTTACAAGTAATAATCTAACATTTATTTTTTATAGTTTTCTATTAAATGTATAATTAAATGTACAGTTGGGGTACCATATGAATCATACATTAAATATTCATGAAGAAACAATACAAAAAATATATATACTAAAAGAGTTTATACTTCTAAGCAATTTATTTTATTTTATCGTAATAAAGGAACTATGCCCAGTTTGGACCCCGGCTGAACAACATTGAGACCTAACTAGGATTGTAGAGCATAAAAAAAGGATTAAAAAGTTCCATATACACAATTTTGTAAAATGAGTCCCTTGAATACTACAGCTGTTCAAAGTTCGCTATTATGACCACATATTGCATACCATATATAAGACTGGTTTTATTCGATTTCTCGAATTATCTAGCATCTGGAATATGTCCAATCTTGACGAAGACAACTAAAATCTTTTTCGGACCCCAAATGAATAGCTATAAGTGATATATATTAATCGATAAAAAGTGGAGAGAAACATTCAAAGTATGAAACAAAAGGTTTTAATTGGTTTGACAATGAGGCTGCGATTCAATATTTTTAACTGTAACGTTTCCATCTCTTGTTTCAGTACGTTTTCTTTTATAATGGCACCAACAGACATGACATATACATTTAAATGTGTTAAGTGGGGCTCTTGTGGAACTACTAGGTTCTTGTTCCAAGAAATCCAGCACTTCCCCAGCAAATGTTTCCGCGACTTTTCAAATAATTTCCACATTGTCCTCAGTTAATCTCATCACGACTAACTGCTTCGGAGTAATCCCGTACCAGAGGCTGATATCCCGATTGGTACATTCGCCGTTTGTCCATCTCCCTCCCTCTCCCCCCTAAGACGAACTCCATCGCCATTACAAACAAATCTGAATTTCTGTGACATAACGGCATGAATCGCGACCAGGAACTTAGCCGGATTAATGAACTGTAGCAAATACATTTTAGATATTACTTCAGTGTCTTTGGTACAATCCGTTACCGCCGTCACCGCAGAGAGATGCCCTCGATGCAGAGAAATTGGATAAGACAAGTGATACATGGTCATAATAGCAAACTTTGGATAGTTC